ATTTAAAGACCCTGAGTGTTGGTCCGGCCGGATTTGAACTCACGACTTCCCGCACAACAGTCCGGCGCTCTACCAATTGAGCTAACCGGGAGCTCAATTGGTCATTTATAGTGGGTAATTTCCATGACCCGTTCATGAAGATGAATGTCTCCGATTTTTCTCTTAAAATTTCGATGGCCGTGTTCTCATTGTGACGAGCCATTGATGGTCGCTTAGCGAATGACTGAAGGAACGCTCATAAAAACAGTTGCTTTTCCACATTTTCCGCGCTAGTTAGCAAACTTCATTGCAATTTTCTTTAAATCCAAGCCACTTACAACCAGGTGCCTCAAGCGAATCGGCAATTAACTTTTGCCAATGAAGGGGAACTTGCGGTCATTCATTTTATGAGGCTGTCAAATCGGAGACAGAACACGCGTTCCATCTTATTGTCTACTTCACAAGAAATTGAATAATTATTTATTTCGCGGTTGCAGGAACCCTCAATCTTATTTACTGATGCAACAACCAAATAATTCTAGATGATTTTCTTTACTTTTAGCCCTCATAATGAAAAGCATTCAGCCACGTGCGAACATCGTCACCTTCTGCCATGTCGTTCAAATTGAATTACCATGTCGCACTAAAGTTTTACCCGTGATTTTAAGTCGTGTAACCAAGACTGTAAACAAAACACCCTCAGGATTCTTGAGTAAAACATTCGCTGTCGTGAAAGTACGGCAACGGTACCTGTTTAGAGAGGTTATGGATCAATGGTTTAATCATGATACAAAGTTTCTATAAAAGATTATCGCCTAGGGGATATATCAGGGAGTTTGAGAAACAACGACGGCGACGCCGTGGAACACGTGTGTTAAAAAATGAACATCTATTTGACCTCCAAATCTAGCGATACTCTAAAAATCGTACAGTAGCGTCTAAAATCATACAAATAATGTCTAAAGTATCGCTTTAGACATTATTTGTATTTTTTTTTTCAGGTATGTCCAAAATTAGACAGTAGTGTCTAAAATCAGTCTTATGCGTCCAAAACCAGACACTGGTGTCTAAAATCAGACAAATAGTGTCTAAAGTCGGACAGGTATGTCCAAAATTAGACACTAGTGTCTATAATCAGTCTTATATGTCCAAAACCAGACAATGGTGTCTAAAATCAGACAAATAGTGTCTAAAGTCGGACAAGTATGTCCGAAATTAGACACTAGTGTCTATAATCAGTCTTATATGTCCAAAACCAGACACTGGTGTCTAAAATCAGACAAATAGTGTCTAAAGTCGGACAGGTGTGTCTAAAATTAGACACTAGTGTCTAAAATCAGTCTTATATGTCCAAAACCAGACACTGGTGTCTAAAATCAGAGACTGGTCTCTATATTCGGACAATAGTGTCCCAAATCGGACACTAATATTTGAAATCGGACACTAGTATGCAAAATCAGACACTGGCGCTAAAATCGGAAATAAGTGTCCAAAATCAGACATAAGTGTCTAAAATTGAACTATAGGTCCAAAATAGGACCTTAGCACTTAAACTAGGACACTATTGTATTAAAATCAGACACGATCCTCTATAATAAAAAGTTTAACATCAGACACTAGTATCTACAATAGGACACTAGCGTTTAAAACCGGACACTAGTGACTAAAATTTATGTATATATAATAGTGGGAAATTGTCTTAAATGCTGCTAGAAAGTGCTCAATACACACGAATGTAGAGCGAAATACAATTCAAACTGACTAAAATGAAACACACGATTCCCTGCAACTCTGAGTTTCGCGCTTTCGCACTCGTCAGACAGATTTAAATCTGAAATTTGAGGCTATTGCTTCTTTTATCTTACTGGGGTATGCGCATGCCGCTGCAAGAATGCAGATAGGTTCTTTCCTTGGATCTACTACAATAAGTGTTTTTTCCCCCGGCATATTTAGTGCTCTGTTTAACAGCCTTTCTTTTTAAAAACATAATCCCAGACGGGGAAATAGTCCCAGAGTACAAACGCCGTCACGAGGACCTGGAAGAGCTAGGTCCGAGCCACCCTCTACGCAAACTTGTTTTGTAGTGCTTGGAAAACTCTCCCGAGAAAAGGCCCAGCGCAGGCGAGATTAAAGAAGAACTCAACAAAGCTGCGAGTGGAACATTAGCAAAAGCAAATCAATGTGTTGTTTGTTGAACTAAAGTGACTATGAACGATGTTAGACATGGAAGAACTTAAGATTCGCTGGTTTTGAATGTCTCATAATTAAGGATTACAAGATTATGACAGTTTTTATTATTATTCAATGTCATCTTCTTTACTGCATGCAAGTTTGTTTCATATTTATTATGATCAGCAATTTGTACTTCCAATATAAAATCCACAACCAGTCCCTTGAAAAACTGTTGCCGCAAAGTTGTAGATCCAGTGATTCTAGATGTAGTGTCCGATTTGAAACCCCAGTGTCTGGTTTTGTACGATTTTATACAATAGCATCAGGTTTAAGTACTATTGTCAGATTTTAGACACTAGTGCCTGATCTTAATCACTTCTCTTTGATTTTAGATACAGGTGTCACATTTTACACACGAATGGCCGATTTCAGATATTAGACTCTAGTGTACGATTTTGGACACTAGTGTCCGATTTTGAACGCAAGAGTACTATCATGTACAAGTTTGTATCGTAGAAATTATTAATTATGATGTTCACTGGGGTACATTTGCACTGAAATACCTCATTAAAAGCGTCAACGAGGCATATATGTGACAGAAACGAACAATCAATAGAAATTCCTCTCTATGAATACAAAACCTTTGTGGACGGGAGATGAATGGGAGACCTAAAAAATAATTCTTGGAGACACGTCCTTAAAAGCTCTTCGCTCATCTCTAACAAGCATGATTCCCTCTGGCCCCTTAAAAATACGACACTTTCTATCTTTTTTTTACGGGTCATGAGTCATGAGAAAGGTAGCATTACGGCGTAAGATATACTCATTCTGAAATGGACAAACCATATATCATCAGCTGTTGCAAAAGCCAATCACATGATGGCTTTTATTAAATGTAACTGAGAGACATCAGAAGAGACCTTATGAAGACCTTATATCTATCACTGGTAAGATAACATCTCTGCTACGCGTCTCAGCCAATCGCATGATGGGTTTTATTAAATGTAACTGAGAGATATCAGAAGAGACCTTGTGAAGACCTGATATCTATCACTGGTAAGATAACATCTCTGCTACGCGCCTCAACTATGGGATTCCCAATCTCCCTCATTAATGGTCGAGATCGAAAACATCCAGCGCAGAGCTACACGATTTACATGCAAAGATTCTGGCCTGTCTCACAAGGAACGTCTAATAGAACTGAACTTTCTTCCCCTGAACTATTGGCTGGAATATCTAGACATTGTCTTTTTCTTTAAATGCAAATTACGTTTAATTGATTTGAAAAGAAACTACCTCTTTGAGTTTTGTAGTGGGCGCCTCTGGTCTTTTTCTCAAAAATAAGAAAGCTAAAACCTCACTCTATAGAGATTCCTTTTTTGTAAGAATCTGTAACATATGGAACGCCTTACTAGATAACATAAGAGCTGAAAAGGAACTACTGTCTTTCGCCAAAAAACTAAAATCCTTCGTTAATCTAAGACTTACGAAAGTTTTCAATCAAGGCGACATCCGTTTTTTTAAATTAGTTTGTGTAAAATGTCGTCGTTTCGATGTTCTTAATTCTTGTGCATGTCAGTCAACTAGTTTTTTTTTCTTTTTCCTCTTTTTCTCAGTTTCGTTAATGATAATATGTTTTGTTATTTCCTAGCATGGAGGCTGGCAAGTGGGTTAGGTTTCAATTTCGTCTGTTTGTTGGGGATAGGGAACGGTAATTTACCCAGTAGGGAACAACCCTGTCCTATTGTAAATTTACCTGCCTTTGGCAAATTGTTAAATAAGTTAAAAAATCAATGAAATTATGGTCGTGTTTTTAGTATTGGACAGTATTAGTTAGTTTTTTCCCTACCCCCTCCCCTCCCTGCCCCACCCCCACCCACTCTGCGCCATCCCTTTTCTACTAAGGCCCCCTCCTCTATACCTCTCTCGTCTGGGGGGGCCTGGAGACCAATACGTTTTCAAGTAAAGTAAATATAGAAAATTTCTGACGTGACAGTCGCTAACAACCCCCTGCAGGGACTGGGTGGATTTGGGAATGTATTTGTTGCAACATAAACATCAGTTGATAACCGGTTCCTATGCTCGAGAAGTAGGATATTAGTTCTCTCTTGATTTTTGTTTATAATCACGCAAGTTCTAACCCATATATACGTAGAGCAAATGGGGAACACTTCGTCGAAAGAAGAAGTGAAGCTCGTTCGGAAACTCGGTGAAGGGTCCTACGCAGAAGTATACGAAGCTTTTTGGAAGAAGACACCAGTTGCCGCAAAAAAACTCCACACTTACTTGTTGAAGAAGACCGATATTCATGCGAAATTCAAAGCAGAGTGGGAATTGTTGAGCCAGTTGGATCATCCCAATATTGTGAAATATTTACACGTTGTTTTGCCTAAATCCCCGCAAGAGGCACCGATTATTATCACAGAGCTTTTGGAACAAGATTTGGCTAAATTCATATCTTCACAAAGAAAGCAAAATGGCCAAATTAGCTTTCGTGATACAGTGTTCATAATGCTTGACGTTGCCAAAGGACTCGATTATCTTCATCAAAGACCAGAGCCAGTAGTACATAGAGACCTTTCTTGTAAGAATATTTTGTTAACTGCTAACAAACAAGCAAAGATCGCCGACTTAGGAATTGCGAAATGTTTTCCGGGCGGTGAGATGTCTGCAACGGCAGACGTTGGGACAAAAGCTACTCGAGCTCCTGAAACATATGGGAAGCGGACTCGTAGCAGAGAGCGTAAGAACTACGGAACTAAAGCCGACATATTTTCTTTTGGAGTCGTTCTTATGGAAGTAATAGTCGGTCATCTTTCTTTGTGCTTGTCTGAACTTCATACGGAAGGTAAGTTTCCATCTGATATACTTAGTTATTTAATTTCGACGATTGTAGGACGCTGTCTTGAAAGATTGTATCAATTGAGAGATTTAACCATGAGGTCTCCGACTCTAAAAGAAACTAAAATATTTTCTAGAACTCAAATTTAGTCGGCCTGTGTTTGATAGAAATTACCAATTGCAAGCGACAATTTCATGCACTTGCAACAATATTTTGACGGAAGTTAAATGTTATAGAAATGTATGTACTCCAGTTTAGTATAATTTTCTGGTTCATGTAAATTGCTTTACTCTCCAAAACTGAATGAGGCTAAGCGATTGCTTGTGAGATTTTAGTTGTAGGATACTGACTATTAAGTGTAAATTATACGTATTGAAAACATTCCGCACATTTCTGGAGAAGAAAGGAGGCAGACATTTTGTTGAGATAGATTGCATGACGTGACAAAAACAAAGCAAGGAAAGTTAAACGTCGGGGGAATGGGGCTAGTTTTTAATTTTTCGCAAACAGGAGTCAAAGAGGGAAGATTAAGAAGCAAAAGTGAGAGGAGAAAAAAACCCAGAGTCATGGTAAAAGCAGCAAGAAACATGTGTTGAAGAAATTGTTTATCTTACTCTACGTGAACTACCCTTTTCAGAAGTAAAATATCTTTCCTCCCGCATTCATTTCATAAATCGAATTATTTATTTATTCATGTAATAGTGATACATATATCTTATTAGACGTTTTGTTGTGTAGTATATATATCTTATTAGACCTTTTGCTGTGTAGTATTTTTTGCTGTGTAGTATCGCTGAGTATTTTTACGAGTTGTGCCGTATTTTGACGAGCCCGCAGGGCGAGTCAAAATACAAATAACGAGTAAAAATACTCAGCGATACTACACAACAAAACGTCTAATAAGTTATTTATTATCCAACACGCCAAACTGTTATTTCAGTGCGGGCGAATTTCGCGGATATTTATTTACGGGGAGTGCGTGACAGAAGTATGCGAAGCGGAACGGAATTGGCGCGTTGTTGTGTTGCTGTTTCTATTTTCTTCATTAAATGAAGAAAAATTTCTGGTCGTCAAACTGCTTTTCTTCGTTCGATTCATCTAATGAACTTGGATCTATATTTGCCAGCCATTCTGACTCTTCGTCGTCGGAAATATGATTCAAATTGTCCGCCATTTGTTTTTTTTTTTTCGTAACTACAATCCAATTCTTCGCGTGCGCGATGCGAGAAAACCTGTTTAACCGGTACTCTACGATAGACGAGTACAAATACCGCGTGATATTTGTACTCGTCTATGGCGTTATTTGTATTCGTCTAGGTGTAATTGGATAATAATGTTTCATATCCTTATATCTTCATAGATGGAAAAACTGTGCCAGAAACTATTCGCCGAAGTGAGGATCTCTATGAAATACAACCCGAACATCCTCTACGTTCTATGGTCCTGGTCTGTCTGGAAGATGAACCCGAAGACCGTCCGACAGCCGAAGACTTGGCGAACTCCCTCACACGCTTCAAAGATAGTAATGAACCACATCGATCGCAGGAAAATCTCCACAGCAGAAAGCCAGTTCATCTAGTTACGTTTGGTCAGTATGACTACGAGTTTAAAGTTGTGTTGGTTGGCGATACGAGTGTTGGAAAAACAAGCATTGCAACGAAATTTGTTCAACCCTCACGTCCATTTCAAGACATATTGCCGGCGACAATTACTTGGGGAGAATACAACGAGCGTCTTCAGCTTAAAGGTAAATCCATTTTCCTACAAATTGTGGACACAGCGGGAGAGTTTAACATGAACAGCTCGCTCCCGCAACTGTACAGAGGAGTTCACGGGGCGGCTGTTGTTTTTGACGTGGCTTGGAAGGCTTCTTTGGCAAGTGTGCGTCAATGGGTCTCCATGGTGCGTGAAAAATGTAGGAATGACATACCCATAATCCTTGTGGGGAACAAGACAGACAGTGAGAACAGACAAGTGAGTACTGAAACAGCGGAAAAAATGTGTAAAGATTTCAATCTTTTTTATATTGAAGTGAGCGCCAAAACTGGTCGAAATATCGAGGAGACATTTTCCGTTTTAGTAGAGCAGTTGATGGACCAGAGAGAACAACAAGACTTTTCTCGTCCTTCAACGAGTTCTGCTTCACATCGGCGAAGCATGGATTTTAGTGCAAAGCAGTATGCTCCTGTTTCACAAATCACGGAGAGGGAGCCAGCCGTGCGGAGAAGAATCAATAAACATCCTGATAGCCTAAATCTGAATTCAGCCATTCAAAAAGAACGGAACTATATAACTCCTTTTTCGGTCAATGAAGCTGACAGAAAGAAAAAATCCTGCTGCTCTTAACTGGAAGCTTAACACAAAATGTGAGTGGCTACGACCGGCCCCCATTTTCACTGCTGGTCTGTCGAACAGTTCTTTCGGTAAATGGACTCTCTATTTCAGTTAAGACAACTAAAAGAACTTATTCTGACCGAACTGTACTTGACGTTTGAGGAAGGCTATAGTCAATTTCCACGCTCGAACGCGTACTAGTTTGCAGGAAAATTGTGGGAGTTTGAGTATCTAACACTGTGAGCGGAAAATGTGCCGGCACTCACGAGTAGGGGACGTTAGCATTTCTTGTACACCAACCAGAAACAGTTCTCCCAGGTGGTAAAGCAGCCTGAGTTAAAAGGGTGGTATACTCCTACAACGATGCAATTTTTTCCTCTGTCGTTCAAAATAATTTGTAACAATTTCATTTCCCCAGCTGGTCTCGAAAGCAATGAGTTTTTTTGTTGCGTGGTTAAACTGACAAAAGATGTTCACTAAGGCAGGACGATTTTTGTTACTCTTGTGTAAGAGACCTCGTCATAGGACATAGGCAGTCAATTTTCTAGAGTCCCCCTCTCTGTTAGCGACGACTGACCCCCCCTCCGTTCCCCTGAAAGCCATGTCACCCTCACCCCCACTCCCCATCCCAGGTCCCTAAATTGGAAGGTTGCTTGAAATTTCGAGTCTAAAACTTGGAAATCATGAAGTACGAGATATGGTTAGTAAAAGAATCATGAATGTAGAGAAACAAAATGGAGAATAATGAATCATTGCGCCAAAAGCAAGAATCACGAATCTCAAAGGTCAAATGATCGTCATGATTCTAATTCCACCCCCGAAAATGCGGGCATGCTCGAACTCTTAACGGTCCAAACAAAGGAAGAAAGTAGGACGTACCATACATTAAAGTCATTAATTAAATACTAATGGGTACGTGACTGTCTTTGTAGTGTTTTTTCTTTATTAAATCTAATCTTCTGACACATCCTGACCAATCTGACTGTTTTAGTTAGAACTCCCAGCTCAACGTTGCTCACAAACGTTATGCTGAAGTTGAGGTGAAAGGACGTACTTTGGGAGTCCCGGGGAGCAAACAACCAGTATTGTTTGACACATTGTGACCTCCTTTTCGAAAGATCCTGGCTACGCCCTTGAGGTGTAGCACAGAAGAAGACAGTCAGAAACACCTTTGCGAAATTTAACGAGAAAAATATTAAATTCATTTTGGAATCAATGTTTCCCTCGGCGTTGTGGTCCTGGCAGCTTATGGTAAATGCTGCGCTAACATGAACATTTGCCGTCAGTCTTCTCCTGGTCTTCTTCACCGAGATGGATTCGAGACTGCTGCCGAAATAACGATTTTTCCATTATCTGTACATCGCTTGTGTCCAGTGATTCTAAAATTTTTTTTGCCAAGCGTTCGAACATTTCCTCGACGTTCTCAAGAGTTACTGCACTAACCTCGAGGTAATCCATATTGTTTTTTTCAGCATAGTTTTGAGCAAGTTCAATTTGGACTCTTCTTCGAAGATCCTTCTTGTTCCCAATTAACATAACTTTAACATTTTCGCCACAAGCAGGCTCAATGAAGCTCATGTGCTTTTGGAGATCACAAAAACTTCTCGGCTCACTAATGTCATAGACAAGGAAAGCCCCATGCGAGCCTCTAAACAGGGCTGGAGCAATGCTGTCAAACCTTTCCTGGCCTGCCGGGTCCAAAATTCTCAGAATCACCATTTGATTTCCAATTTGAAGCGGTACAGGCTGCATTTCCACACCGATTGTCGAACGAACAAGTTCTGGCGGCAAGTCCTTGTCGATGTATTTTTTGATCAAAAGAGATTTTCCAACGCCAGAGTTTCCAAGTAAGGCGATTTTCAACTCCATTCGTTTCTGATTGCCGTCGTTTCTTCGCAAATCTTCAATCACTTGTCTAATCGAGGGTCTTCTTGATGGGTCATTTTCCAGACATTGGAGAACTATTTCTCTTAGAGGATGAAGAGAGCCCATCTCTCCAAGTTCCTTTCTTCGTCGATTGTGTTCCAGCACTTTGTTTCCATCTGATACAAAATAAGGAAAGACACCGAGTTAGCAGATACAACAGTAAGTTTTAAGTGCCCCCCCCTCTCTCCCTTCTATTTGACCCTTCCAAATCTCAGACCCCACCACACCACTTTGAATATGGGATAACAAGGCTGTTTCATCTATCATCAATCTATCAGTTATGGTTCCCAAGCAACACAAATCTCCATGCATTCTGAAAATATTTAACCAGTTTCAATTGACTCTTGTGGAATAGATGCTGTCACAAGGGGAGGGGGGACACTATCCCACTTGAGATAATGTTAAGGAGGCTTTGGTAATGAGAGAAGGGAATCTGTCATTTTCCTGGTCAATTAGTTAGTTTACAGATGGTAATATATTATAAACTGTTAGCTTGCTTAATGAAACTTCCAGTTTTGCACTGTCTATTAGCGGAACACTGAGTAGTTTATATTTAAATAACATCCCTTAAGAATCTACATGATGGAACCTTTAGTAAATACCAGTAACCCTAAAGGGTACACAACAGAACTAATGAGAGGCTCCTTCTGGCAGCATTTAATAAAGTGTGTATGAAGGTTTTAACAGTCAGGTGGTAAATCTGCTTTAGATTGCATGTATTAACACAGGGTAAAAAGTAGTGCTGAAGAGATAGAACAGGGCCAGTGAGTAACATTACCTATCTAACTATAGATAACTATATGGCTTCTTTATGTATGAATACTTTTTTATAAACAATGAAAAGATATTCAGTTTTCTTTCCATAGTAATACGAAAAGGCTGTTTTATGAACTTTACACCCCCATTGTTGTTGAAAAGTTTCTTGTGACATAATTAGCAGAGAATTCTCCCTCATAGTGGATTTATAGCCTTGAACCCCTCCCCCTCCTGCCTCTTCCATCCGCTTATGGCCAGATTTTTTTTATTTGCCAGTCAATAATTGTGTTATTTCATAAAGGAAAGCTGCATTACTCTGTTGTCAGGATTGGGGGAGGGAAGAGGGGGGGGGGAGGGAAGAAAAAAAAATAAGATGCAGCTTATGACCATCCTTGTGGTATTCCTTCAGTCTCACTACAAACTTTGGGTGGTTGCAGCCCAGCCCATCTGACATTACATTGATTAAATATCTGGACCTTACAGTCAATATTCAAATGTTTGATAGTAGTAATCATTCTTTTACCTCTCTTCAATGTAAGGATCATATAGAATATTTAGGTGTCTTATTGGATAGTCATTTGAGTTGGAAATTTCACATTGACAATGTGGCACTAAAAATAAGTAGAATAATTGGAATTATTGCCCGCCTTCAGCATCTTGTACCTTTAACCACTCTATTAACTATTTATGGCTCTTTAATCCTCCCTTACCTATCCTATGGCATGGCTGTTTGGGGCCAAGCTGCTAAATCCCATTTACATGAAATCCTCGTCCCACAAAAACAAGTTCTTCGGCTGATATATTTTTCTGAACCCAGAGCACATGCAGTGCCTTTATTTATCTCCTCAAAAATCCTCCCCATAAATATGTTATACGTTGAATCAGTTTCCCCAATTATGTTTGACGTCTCATGTCTAACTGTACCTACTAACATTAGTAATCTTTTCATTGAAGCTACTGAAAAGCATAATCACGATACGAGGTTCTCTTCTTTTGGCAATTTTTATATTAATCCATCAAGACTGAATCAAAGCCAGGGCTCTTTTGCTAGCTTCGGAGCTAAACTTTGGAACTCCATTTGCGATGGTCTTCGTCAACTCCCGAAGAGAGCTTTCAAAAAACTCTTCAAGGACATGTTACTTTCGTTCCTAGAGGCTGAGGATTACTATGTTGAATTGCCCCCCTCTATTTCAAAAAATTACTAATTACAAACTGGCTTTATAATTTATATTCTACATTGTAGTGTTACTATTTTCTTATGTTTAATGATGCAGTTGTATATATACGAGTTTTAAGTGGCTGTCTTTTTCGGGAAATGTTCTTAATTTATGTTTAAACTTTATTTGTACACTATTACCACTGCTGTACCTCGACTAGCTCCTGCTATTTGCAGGCGTGAATGGTCTTCATAAACATGAAAGTGTAAATTAGATCAATAATAATTAGAGTAATTAAATTAATTAGATTCATTTGTAATTTGTAATTTGTAATTTTCTTATTAAGCTTTCTTTCTTATTAAGCTTCAATAAACTCCTCCAATATCTTTCACCTCTAGCTGTTTTAAAAAGATATTTATAACCAGGGAGTCTTTCAGTGTGGCTTAACAACCCAGAGCACATTTTTGATCTAGCAAGAAAACATTATCCACCAAGTAATCTACTAATCATATTGGTATTGTGTTTATTTACTTCTGAATGAACAGTACATGCACCCAAGGATTAAAATTGAGAAACCAAATAACAAGGTACAAAAAAATTGTATGAAATTTGATAGGAATCAAAGGAACTGATATACTTTTTTTCTGGGAGCATGATTAATATGACATGATGCACTACTAGTCTTGAACCAATCTGTATTCTCAAGGATTGGCAACATTGTAGAGTGATTATAGTTTTATACATGGAGTTTCTCAATTGTCACATGAACTCACCCTGTCATTCATGCAAGTGTAACATGAACCAAAAACATTTCTAAAATTTTCACTGAGATTTGCTTTTCTACAAAAGTATCGTGACAAGGCCTACTGCTTTTCCCCAACTATCCCTCCTTCAGCAAACAAGGTGATTTTTTTTCCCCAGAAATTCCCTAGTCTCATACATGTAGTATTTATTACTGAGAGTTACAGTCACCTATTTTTTTTGGAAAAGGTTGGCTTGAAGATAAAAGAAGCACTCCATGTGTTTTTTTTTTTTTTTTTGAATTTAGTGCAAGGAAAAATCAAACAAAGAAAATTTGAACATAATACTGTCTACCAGGCCCAAAAAATAATAATCATCAATATTAAACCTTTGCTCCCAAGAAAGTAATCTTTCTTACCTTCTTTTAAATTTAGGTCAGAAGATAAGGACTGGTGTTGAATAAAAAAATATCCCTTAATTGATGTTTTTGTTTATTCTCTTTGCCTGTCTGCTTGATATTGTATTGATATGGTAAGGAGAGATTATCTCTTCATCTGAGAGCTAAGTAGATATAATTACCTCTTGCATGGTCACTCTTGTGATTGAAAGGGTTTACTGTGATCCTGGTGAGTTATAATTTGTTCAGTTCATGACTTTTTTAATCAAACTGACCTGGTGCTGCAGATGGGAGAGTGTGGCTATGCTATGATAGCTGTTGATCAATGCTCTGTGGGCATTAATCAATCTGTGAAAACCAAATGCTGTTTTAAGCAGACCCCAGTAAGTCAGAAGAGGTTAAGAATTATGGATTTATTTAAATATCCCAAATACGTTTTTCACTGTTTGGTCCAATTCTCTCCCCATTAACTGACGAAGGTTAAGTGAATTCACATTAATCCAAATTGACATTACAAAATTACACAAATCTTTGAACAAGGAACCCTTAAATATTTTAAATTAGGCTTTAAATTCACTTGATTTCCCTCGTTAGCAGAAAAGTTTTCCAGATTTACAGCTTTAATCTGAGAGATTAAGTGCACTCTTCAGGAGACCAGGAGATTTACTATGTATCTAGGAGACTCAAAAGTAATCCAAGAAAGTTGTCATACAAACAAATAGTTTGTTTACAACGTCCGCAGTGAAGGATATCACTTGTTCAGCGCACTAAGCTCAAGTACATGACTGGGATGAATAGACCGGAAGTGCTAAAAATTCGGAAAACTGTACACTCAAGTAAAAGTAACCAAGGAAGGGTCCACTAAGGAGAATGTGGGGACTAGGGTACAAGATATTCTAACAGAACATTCATATTTCTTGCCGCTAAACCCCAGCTCCTTTCAACACTAACCTTTTAATGGCGAGAAAAATGGTTTGGGGGACGGAAGGTGACCGACTATAATTTCCAACAACACAACTCCGAACGAAAAGATATCGATCTCTGTTCCATAATCAACTGTAGGGCAATCACTTCGATCCGGATGATTACTACTAGGAAATGTTTCTGGCGCCATATACACTGTCGTGCCCGGAACAGGTGTTTTAGTCATTTGTAGGGTAGTACCCAGCGGATGCCCCGGAAACTCTTTGGCTTGCCCCAGATCCGCAATCTTTGCCTTCAGTTTCGTGTTAAGTAAAATGTTATTAGATTTGATGTCTCGGTGAATGATAGGATCCTCGCGTTCATGCAGAAATTTCAGTCCTTCGCCGACATCCAACATGATTCTAATGACTTCGTCCAGCGAAACTTTAGGTGTTGCTTTCGAGTTCTTGTAGTGTGATTGAAGATCGCAAAGCATGAGCTCCGTGATAAGAACAGGCGATTTGTTTTCTGGGAAAAGAACTTCGTACATTTCAACGATATTGGGGTGTTTTAACACTCGAAGGAAGTCGCATTCTTTCTTAAAATCCTCCAGCGCTCTAGGATGATACCAGAACATGTCATCTTTAAGGACTTTAACGGCTGCAAAGCGTCCATTCCATTTGGCTTTGTAAACTACGCCTGAACTTCCCTCGCCAAGTTCTTCTTTGATGTCAACTCCCTCGATTTTTAAAGAGTTTCCCATAATTAACGGATTCTGAAATTCTGAGAAGTGAACAAAACGACTACAGGAAGCGATTCTTGTTTGTCATTTTTCTCGATTCTGAGAAACAATTACCGTGACTTGTTGCGTGACAAGTTCTGTAGCACAGTCGCCCACGCAGCAAAACCGTATCGCACATTTCGCCTTTTTTTTTTTTTACGGTTACCTTAGTTGGATTTCTTTTCCCTTTTTGAAGCTCCTACTACTCTCCCTTCCCCACACCCATCACTCTTCTAGTGGTATATCCCTAAAATAACGACTAAGGAATTTCAGTCATTTTCACTATATTGTTGACGTAGAAAGTTCTCGCTAGCTACACGTACACGGAATCTGCACAAAAATGTCATATACGTGGAGGAAGAGGATCGATGTTGAAACACGAGATGATTGAGAGCCAAGAGTACACGCAAACTAGTCTTTGAAGAGAGAATTTTTCACGGATTGTTTTGAGATTTTTTTTGTGGCAAGTAGTTTTTCGGTGTTTAAGATGGAAAAATTGTTTGCTCGAAACTAATTTACATGGATGTTATTTTCTTGCAGCAGTTTATCAACAAAGAAGGTAATGCAATATTTTCAAAGTTTATCACTTATTGAGTTGTGGTACACTACTTAGTAGAGACAGTTCATCAAATTCCATGAAATCTTCAAAGATTTTACCTCACTAGCCGAAAGACTAGGACGACATCAAAAATAATTTTCTATTTACTTGGTAAAATGTTTCCACGACTCTGACTCTTTTTGTCCAGCAACATCTAAGCATCTTTAATCGCTTTTCTTCTTGTCTCCCACAGCTGCAACTTGCTTTCCTTTTAACTGGACAGGCCACGGACGTTTGCTTGACTCTTCCTTGTTGTGAGATGTTAGCAATCGGCAATCTTGTATCGCCAGGGACCTTTTCTCTGTTGAAAACCGACGTCAGACGTACTGGACACTGAACCTTGCAAAGCAGTTTTGGAGGAATCGAGCGGAGAACGGTACGGTATTGCCTTAGCGGAGTAGTATACTCTCTCCAGGCGAATGGTGCACAGAGGATCCTTATATTCACTCCTAGAGGAGCTGGAACTAGCTTCTATTGGATCATCATCTGAATTCTGCGACGTAGAGATACCAACAATCTGGAGTCCTTCGTCTCATCATTTTCATTGAACTTGTTCGTTTCACCGTTTTTGTTCTATCTGTTCAATTGTATCTTCGATTCAACGCCCACAACAAAATTGGTAAGCTTCGCGAGCTTGTGGACTGGCAGCCCTTCGTACGTGGTGTGTTAAAGAACTGAACTTCCTCTCTCTTTTCCTTAGATTGATACCTTGAATCAACCGTGATATAGCGATTGGGCTCTCTCACTGTTTTCAGATCGTTGGTGTTTTTAGAGGCATTTGGCCGGTTAACATGCACGTAGATGCGCCTTTCTAGCGTGAAGCGATTCATGCAAAGTATTGCTTTTATTTTAAACTGAAGAGCCTTCGTAGTGGCCAAATTTGAAGGTTTCACTGTTTCTTATGAAGTTATTTGAATTATTTGCAAGCGGACTGGAGTTTTCTCTCCCACGCGGTGGTGGGCCATGTTTAGTAGGGTAGGCTTATCATTCTGACAAAAGTTGCTAGAGTCTAGTTGGATAGAACCATTCCATTGCCAGCTAGAAAGTCTAGCTCGAGAGCTTTCGGGTTGAGTGTCTTCACAGACTGCATCAGTCCGACAAGCTGTTTGGACTCCCATCCTGCCATCTGACATGACGTGGGACATGACAATAGTGGTCTACGACTTGAGAATGGCTTTACGGAGTGACTGCAGGGACCCTGGACAGCAGTCTCACTTCTCGAAGGTTTCCAAAGCCTCCCAATAGGTGGTTGCCTTGAACACTGAATTGGCATTCTCCAAGCCTTCCGCGATATTGGCCTGTCGGGTCGCTTAAGGTATGCCAACCATGGTATGGTTGGCATCTTGCAAGTGTCACACCAGATTGTACGTTTTCTCTCATTGCGTGTGGACTTTCTCCATTATATTAAAAAGTAAATGAAGCTTCACCTTCCATGGGTCGGTAAGGATCTTTGTTTCTCAGGTCAACAGTTGATCCATGTACAAGAGAGGCGCGAGTAGACCATGTTGCTTGTGAAAAGTGCTCCCGTTGCTCGCGAAAGCTTGGACCAAATGAGGTTTGAAGTGGATTCTCTCGATGGAGTGGAACAGGTTCACTTAATAGGTCAGTATTGGTTGGCTGCACCCGGTGTACTCCAGAAGGGATGGGATTACGCGCTGTGTTTGGAATGCCCTCTGGTTGTGCTCGATTCTTACTCGGTTCCTTGTAAACCACCCCTTCTTCAGATAACAATCGATCTCCAAATGACACATCATAACCACGGTGATACCTGGGACATATTTTAACCTTTATCCGTTCAGTTTCATGGTTTTCATCACCAAGAGCACAATAACCCGGGTAATAAAAGACATATCCAGGGTTTTTAGCCCGCCGGTTTTTCGGTATTCCTTTGGGAAGTCTATTTTGCATAAAAAACCAAGGGTCAGAATCCTCCACTTCTTTATGTTGACAATGAAATAAATCTTCTTTGCATTTCAGATAATTCTCTCTTTGCTGAGGTCTTGTCTGGTGAAAATGATCCAGTAGCTTGGAGTACTCTTCTACCAATTTTGACGCGTGATACCGCGCCCTACTGGAATCAAAGTAGATGGCTGGTTCTGTTAGAATGGCTCCGTTTCCCTTATTGCTATTTTTTTAGCCGAGTGACTCCATGTTTGAGGTTTGAAAAATGTGGGAAGAAATTGACCTGTAATCTTGTTGTGGCACAGGAGGATGTCTATGCGGGCTTCCATGAAAGCGTACGAGATGATGCGTCATGTTGTGAGCTTTTGCAGTCTGTGTGAGCATGGTGAACTTTGATCTAGTTTTATTTTTGTAGTTCTTGAATACCAACTGAAATTCCGTAAAAACGCATTAAAAAAAACAGTGAGCCTGTTTCGCTCATAACCTCAGACACAAAGCAGATTTATATTGATGGGCAGAACAAAAGGATTAATATTGATCATGAAACACCATCCAGCTTAGTCAACACAGTCAAAAGTGAAAAGGTTTTTAACTGCTCCAGAGTTTTCAGTTTCCTAATAACATCACAATCAATTCGAAAATTGAGAGTAGAGGAAATAAACTTAAATAAGAAACTAAAACTCTCCTTAGGAAAAGCTTAATCATCCTTGGTTTGTTCACTGTTCACATGCAATCAGTCTCCGAAGGAGTTAACCCAAAGAAAACTTGTTTTGGAATCCATTATACTTTATATCATTGCGCTAGGGTCGCCAATGTTGCTATTAAACTCTAGAAAGTTAGCAGATAGGTTGCCAACTTATTCACATATGGCAGAATAACATTGTCTCAAAGGCCAGTGCGTTAGGTTTATTATTGTAATGTCAATCTCCTGTATGCTTTTCTAGACAGACGTTTACCAAAGCCCATTACAATATAGCTTAAAAGGGTATGATGCCGACACCTGTTATTCATAGGCTACAAAAATACAACTGATGCTTACCTCTCGAAATGTCTTAGAAGTGTCAATTTCGTGGTAATGTTCAAATGGGCCTTAACCAAGCCCAAGCAAAGGCACATGAGCAATGAAGAATAATGTATGATGATCCCAGATATAAGACAAATTCCCGACACAGTTGGTTAGAAGAGAGAACGACATCATCTGCAAGTAGAAAATGAGATTCAAATCCATTAGATAGCGTTCATGTAAGTGACCAATAAAGTAGAACATTTTTGCACCCGAGGGATAGTATAGTTATACCTCTTTAATTCGGCCCCTTGTTCCTATTCAATATGAATTGAGACCTTTTTGTTTCAACTCCCAGGCTAAGCAATTTTACTTAACTGTAATGTCTGCAAATATGTAGATGTACGACAGTTGTGCAAGAGAGTTAGAAAATCTTGTGGGAGAAGCACACCATAATACCGAACACCCAGTGGGTCAGAAAAAGGAAACCCTGCCTGACGAGCTAATTCCCTCGTGTTGAATTGGCTTATTTTAAAGCTCCAGTTATGACTTAAAGTTATGCCAAATTCAAGAGACAAATCCAAGAGACAATGAAGTCGATTTAAGAATTCATTAGCCAAACCAGGGGATCAAATTAATGGTCATGACTAATATGATAACAAACAGACAAACAACAACAAAAAATATTGTAAGCGCATATAACCTCGTGGTGATTGCCTGCTTTATGTTAGCCAAAAAAATAAAATTGATCATTTGGCGAAATCGCTCGACGTCCATTTAGCAACCGTAGCGTAACACCTTTTAATTATTGGTAACTGAGAAAACAGTGCTCTGTGAGAACATTTCAATTTATTTCAAAGCTTGATCGCTAAGGCCAGATATTTCCAATATAAGTAAAAAGCGTTATCTCTCGTTCTCCGTTTCTAAAAGGTGATGAAAAAATTAAAGAAGCAACACTAAGAGTTGAAATTTTGACCAAGAATATGGACAGTTGAATATCTCTCTCAACAACGTGCACAGGTTACATCCACATCACTAGAATTATTCTTGTTTTTGTTGTACTACGTCTTACAATTTTGTCCGACACCTAAACTTGACTTTGTCAAAAAGGAATAGTTGGGGAAACCCCTATTCCTCACGGAACACTGGGATTCCTCAGGGAACACTGGAATTCCTCAGGGAACACTGGAATTCCTCGTGGAACACTGGAATTCCTGCGGTCCTGAGGTGTGTATGCTTTCTATCTTGACCTCTTCATATTTACCATAATTCATAAAATGAAGCGGCATTCAGATACTCATAACACTAGACTGATTTCTTTATTATATATTTGTTGTTCGTTTTTTCTTTTTTCGTTCAATTATGTCTGACCGATGAAATCCTTCCATCATTTCATTCGGTCACAATGCGTGAAAGCAAAGACAAAAAGTTTTGTGCAGCTATGGAGTTCCCAACGTTATTCACAATACTGATGTACACCCTTGATTTATTTCGGCTTTTAGAACCAGTCCCCGCACTATTCTGTCGTTAAATTTAACACGGCTGTTTTGCTGCTCTAAGTAGACCCGCTATGTCTGGCCATTCCTGGAAAAATAAGTCTCGACTCGTGCCAATCTAGACAATACAATAATGATAATTCTTCCAGCAACCAATTCAGAATTAACTCCTACTCTTGGCTTCCCTTTCTTTGTCAACTGTGACAGCAAGCTTATTCCCTTCATGAATACATTGGAACTTATAATGTGTACACTGATCGTGTCGCCAGTTAATTCCTATCAAATAGCGCCTTTGGCAATGTCGCATCAGGATAGAAGATTAACCCGTGAATAAAAGCGTTTAAATAACTTGGTTTACTAAAATCATATTTTAATGTCAGCTCAGCTTTTAAGCTTATTTACAGTACAACTGTAGTTTACACATTTACAAGCGCAAAATCTTGAACAAAGCCAATATAAATACATTCTCAACGAAACTGAGGTAAACGAATTGCATGCATGCATCGTAATTTCCACGAACGGGTCTTGTTAAAAGAAAAAAGGATTGCATAATTCTAACGCAAACAACGTTATACATAGTGGTGGCGTCTGGCTAGCTATAAAAAGAAAGGCCCTCGCGACAAATATCTATTTCTGAGATTTAATTCGATTTTAAATCTAGTAATATTACTTTATATTTCGAATACTTCGAGACCATCACACACTTTCGGGCAGCTACATGTAACATTACAAAAGTCCCTACAAATGTTCCAGATTCATCAAAGCTATAAAAAGAACCACAAGCTGTTTTCTGAAACGATTTACTGTGAATTAGGCAACTTGTGTTAACTACTCGTTAATTCGTTGATAAAAATATTTGAAATGCCCTTTCTAGAGAAAAAATTCACCACAAAACAGATCAGTGAGAGTAACGAAAACGGCATCGACATAACTGAGTGAATTTACTTGAAGAACTTGGTTCCACATGGTTTATTATAGCTATGTATCTTACTAGTCGAAAAATATTTTCTCCAAAAAAAAAAAAATTCCAGATCCTATCAAAAATTTCTCAGGAATACATTCAGTCGTTTCACACTCGTAGTTGGAATAAAAATTTACACTACCTACACTACAAGCATTATTCATTAGTAATATTAATCTAATATAAAAGTAAACCAATCTTGGCAGTCTTGAAACACTATCTGTTATAGGTGTGTGTCCGTGAAGTACTGCTCCCTCTTGAAGCTTTGATATGGCGTACTTGGTTCACTGTCTGAAAAGTCCATTTTTTCCTCATCGTACTACAAGAATAGAAACAAGTAGTTGGGCGACGCAACAGACTATACCTGAGTCTAATGTGCACGATTAGGTAGGAAGGTGGGTCAGTTGGTAGGTCTAAAGCTAGCTAAGTAGGTAAGTCGGTAGCTTGATAAAAAAAGTAGGAAGGGAGTAGGTACTTAGGTAAGGTACGCCGGGTTAGGTAAAGTGGCTGTTACGAGCTACAAGTTCCCTTACTGTCGTAGCTTACTCTGGTTTCATTGGCATGAAACGACAGAGAATATTGCTCCACTGCCGTGGACCGAATTCCAATTTAAGGAGGGGTTACCTACAACATCCTGTCCGGTTTCCCTGACAGTTTGCCGGAACTCAGTTGTACTCCACTGACGATGGAGAGAGGCACTGTCACAGTTGAGTGTCTGAAGCAAGAACACAACAGGGCTCGATCAAGGACCCTTAAACGCCACAGTGCCGCAACATGCAAAGAGGTAACCTTCTCTAACTTACTCGGTGTTATATCAGAAATCTCTGTCAAGGACCAAGGGAAAAAATAACGTGAAAGATCAGCTATTAGCCCTTACCAGTCCAGAATCCCTGTTACTATAGGGATTGTAATTGTCCCATTCCTGACTCATGTCAAGAGGAAATTTGTGCATACTGCCATTGTAGGAGTCATATGGTTCGGGAGTCTTCTTAAGCCTCTCTGTGCTGTCAAACAAAGCCGTGGTACTGCTGTGGTAGGGGTTCACTGAATGCATCTCCTGAAACGAAATAAGTTGCATCGAAAACTTTTGTTAATAAAAGATAATGAGTGGACTGTTTGCAGTCTTTAGTATAAGCAGGGATGTATGAAATAAAACGAAACTACATGTAACAAAGCAACCAATAATTAAATGTTCCCTTTACCTGACTGATAACCAATTGAGGGTTTTACAGAGCATAATGAAGACGTCGCGTGAAAACAAGAAAACAACAACAAAAAAAAAAAACAAAAAAAAACACCAGCAAAGATATGAGCTCAGTTTGATTTAAAAGAGATAAAAAAAACACCATTTGGCTCGGAAATATGCGTGAATATTTCTCAGCGGACAACACCTGTTCCGAAAGCGAAACTTAAAGAAACGGTGAATTTCGAGGAACGGATAATGTTTATGGACATATATGAGAGCATATTTGCATCCTAAATGTAAACCATTGCACTCATTCGCCTTTAAATATTTGCAGCGTCCGAGAAACAAAATGTTTTCAAGGAACTTTCTGCCAAAGTTGACTGATGTTCACTCGCAAATGCTCTTTCGTACGACTGTATGTTCCTTTGTAAAAATCACAAAACGCTGGACCATCTCCAATATAATTTGAACCAGAAGCTTTTATCGCATCTGAAATTTGAAAAAATTGGGAATATCACTTGAGGAATATCAACGCATATTTCCAAATTTACACCGAAACATATATAATTATGGACAAAAATCATGTTTTTTCCACCTTCTAACTGCTTCTATCATCAACTACTTACAATAAAACTTCCATTCTTTCTGTCGCTGGACGTGTAAAGACTGGACATTGATGGAGGCCTGGAGCGCAGTTTGGTGCGCGGAGGTAAAGGTTCTCTGTCGCGTACAAAAACTGTCCTACCCCCAGTGGATTTCCACATACAGCAGAATATGAGCAAGAACAGGATAATAATGGCGACCAATGCCATGACAGCAATAAACCAAACACTCTTGTGCCACTCATTCGTAGCAGTGCGGGGTGCCGACGTCGCTACAGTAACTTCAGCTGAGAACAAATAGGGTCAGCCTGTTAGCCTTTTACACTCCAATATCAGTATGAATATTCTCTATACCGTTCCCCATACATTTCCTAAGATGCTGACGAGGAGAATTTGGTTAACAATCAAGAGTTTGCGACCTTAATGTATGATTCAGGGGTGATATTGTTGGGAGAAAATAGATTCTAGTCACTCAAAGGGTTGATGTTTTTTAACCCTACTATCAGTTAACGTGGTCTGCACATTGTCCCCCTATTCAACAAATGGTAAACACCGCAGTGTACACTACTGAGTTATGTATGCACGCGGGAGGTTGCTAAGCACGAAAGCAGCGTAAGAGTCGCGCGAGGCGATAGCCGAGAGCGACTCTAGCTTATTGAGTGCTTAACAAACTTCCCAAGAGCATCCATAACTCAATAGTGTACACTGTGGCGTTTACCATTTGTTCTATATAACAGAACATTGATACATTGTAGCAAAAGAGTTTTCTGTTATTTAACAAATCTTACGTGACCAGAAAAAACAAGCGCGCGCGGAAAACTAGTCTTTGCATTTGCTGTCGTCAGCAGCGTACACCCATGGGCAAATGGTGGACGCTGAATTGACCTATTAGAGCGCTTTACTTTGGTTATGTTTTAATTTCATATGATAGTGACGAGGGGAATTTGTTTGACAAAGGAAACCTTTCTCGCTTGCAGATCCTCTCCTTTAGATCTCGTGACATAAATATATTTGAGTAAATGGTAATGTTTTAAGGAGAGATTAGAGGGATGTTACTGTCAGCCGTTAACCTCCTGCAATAAAACAGCGATCGCTTCTTCTTTGCCAAGAAATTAATAGCTATGGGCACGCCACTTACATTGCACTTGGACAGTGACACTGGGGGGTGACACCACAGTTCTTTTGCTTTCTTGCACTAAAGTTGTGGCTTCAACTCTGTAGGTGTACTCTGTAACAAAACAAACCACGGGAAATGTAGTCAAAACGCAAATCCCTTGAAAAGAAGTAACTCATCGCGTTCCAAGAAAATCTCATGTGTGCCTTGTTTGTTTAATTGTTAACCAAACAAGGCTACTATTTTGTAGTCTCTTAAAGTTGAAGTAATCTCAGCGAGTGGCGAAAAAAATCAACTCAAATACTGTGGCGTAAATTTTTCAAGAGAAAAGAGATAATTTAACAACCAGAACGTGATTAGTTGATTTTGCCTCTAACCTCCCTCATTCCTAACTCCCAGGTCCGTCTTGTTCTGCTGTCCTTCATAGATGAGCAATCCATTTTCTAACAGTACATAGGAGTCCAACGGTCCGTTCAACCTAAAGCAATCGCTCCAGTCTACGGCCACTGGGAGTTCGGTCACATTTACTCGAGGCCTCAATCCTGTCGTCTGTGGACCTGAAACCAATTAAAGCAAAACACGAAAATAAATTTTTGCCTAATAAAGTCATTAACCTAGAAATTGCTCCTAGTTAATTTGTCACAAAACTACAAAACATCTCAAGGTTTTATCGTGCGACTACTCAGTGCACATATAAACCTTCGGACGTCAAAAGGTCTATATTAGCAATTCCTTTGAAAAACACATCGTAACCGATTTTCGTTAAATTAATAATACAAACCAATCACACACACAAAGTGAAAATACTTCCATGCAAATTATTCTGATCGCCAATTTTAACTGCTACATGGCTAGTACACCTTGGAGAGGCTCTGTTAGAGTCAAGTGTTTTGCAGAAAACACAATATTATGATCTGAGCTAAATTCAATTTGGATTAGGAGACTAATGATGAACTGGACCGGGCTAAAACTTAGTACTTTTCATTTGGAGTACAGTGCAGCAACCATCATGGCGCCACTTCTCCCCAAGCCAAAGGTGATTGTATAACTTCCGATCCTAAACCAAATTTTTCTCGTAGTAATCCAAGCAGAGCGATGGAAAACAATTATCATAATTATAGTGACGTACTTGCAGCTTGTGTTCGAACCCTTTGTTCATCTGATAAACTCGAATGCTTTGAGTTATAGACCCGTATCCTGAAGTTATACATAGTGTGCGGTGACAGGCTTCTAACGGTATAACGCTGAGACAGACTCGCGTTTAGTCCACTCGCGGGCATTGCAGTGGGGCAACCAATAACGCAAGATTCATGAAACAGGACCTCATATCTAAAAAAAAGTTGTTAGGAATCAAAGTTAAGGTTCAATGGCGTAACATAGTAGCGATCAGTTTCCTTCGATTTCCAATAACATCACTAAACTGATAATGGAAAGTCAGGACAGTGTGTTCTTTATTCCCACCTTTGGATGACTCCATTGGGTTTCCCAGGCTCGTCCCATTCTAGTGTGACGAAGTTACTGGTTATTTCAACGGGGCGCGGGGCCGCGAACTCCGAAGGCACTCCAACAGAAGTCTTCCAAGTTGCAGTGGGTCCAGCGGCGCACCCTCCATCCGTGCAGACGTACACACGTAAAACATATTTCGTAAATGGCTCAAGTCCTGCCACCTCACGAGTCGTAGTTAGATCTTGAGATACATTTCGTCCAGAAACTTCTAGGATGTAACTCCTTATCTCTCCATTAGGTTCACCAGGTGGGAAAATGAACACTTCCAAACTGTATGAGTAACTCTTGTTCACATAAGGCGCTTTAAGCTGTTCTGGTGCTGCACTTAAGGTTTGAACCACTGACCACTGACTGACCGTTTCACCGGCGCTGTTCGCAGAGATCACTCGGTACTCATACTTAAAGTATGGCTTCACATCTCTATCACTGTAAGCTAGGGCAGATCCATTAGTTACGTTTACTACAGACTCTGCTGGACCATACACCATCGCCTGGTTACCATACAACGATACTCCACGTCTGTAAAGTATGTAAAACAGCATAAATCCGTTGGGCTTTAGAGGCTCATTCCAAGTGATAAGTACCTTCCTTGCACCAATATCAGACGTTGGGAAATCCGGGGGGTTCTGACCCTCTGGTGGAGCCTCAAATGTTCGGGCAGAGTTTGCCTCTCCTATGCTACAGCCTTTAAGTGTACAAGCGCGGATTCTGACTTCATACAGCGTATAGGGGAAGAGATCTTCCAGGGTGGTCTCCTTGGCAACACCAGCATCTTTCACTTGAGCAACGCCTTGCGCTCCCATAAAGTTGTACAGTACTTCATATTTGAAGATGACACCATTTGGAATTCCAGGGACTGTCCATAAGACTTTAATCGATTTTGCACTGAGAACCTCTAAAGTTGGGATGCTTACATTGTCTGGAGCACCAGGGTTAGTAGCAGCACTGAATCCCGGGGGACTTGACAGGCGGCCCGCGGAATTCACTGCCGTCACAATATACATATACACGGTGTATGGGGCCACAGTAAGGTCGTTAAATCTCAGATCAGTACCGTTGTATACTTGCGAACCGTTGCGTGTAAGGAGATAGTAGAGTATTACACCATGTGGTCTTCGAGGTGCATTCCATTCTACTCGTACAAACGCAGAACCACCGATTGTAGCAACTGGGGCAAGGAGATCTCTTGGAGGAGCTTCTTTGGTGCGTACTTCAGCTGGTGCACTCTGCGTACAACCCTTGTTCGTACAGGCACTGACGTAGAACGAGTACTTAGAGTAAGGTTCCTTCCCGCTTACAGTGAGCGTCATGTCCTGTCCGGTATAAATCGGAGAACTGTCGCCAACTTCATACACTTGGTACTGGGTAATGACTCCATTGGGCTTGTCTGGCTTCAACCAAGATATCTTTATAGCCAAAGCACTCTCCGCTTCTAAGGCCGGGGGTTGCACACCCGATGGTGCAGCCTGAGTCGTTCGGCGGCTTGATGGAGAGCTCTGCATACAGCAGTCAACATTGCAGCCAGTACACACCTCCACGGTGTAACTGTACAGGGTGTATGGCTCCAAACCTTTATCTACAAAATTAAGTCCGTTTCCTTTGTATTTTATAGAATTGTTCCTGAACACAAAATAAAACTGAATAACACCGTTGGGTTCTAGCGGTTCTTTCCACGTCACATTCAAGGAATACGCACTCATTATCAAGACAAGCGGTGGATCGACGGAAGAAGGAGCAGCTTGAGATGTAGTTACGATTAATGGGTCACTTTCCGTAAAACCTCCGCCGTTGACCGCACGAACACTAAAACCGTACTTTGTGTACGGCTTCAATCCCGTCTCCGCGTGCGTGAAATCTGTCTTGTTTGTATCATTAGTGGAATAAACCAGTTGACCGGGGGTAGGTGTTACAGCGCGCCTTCGTCGCTTCTGAAGCGGGGTGACCGTTCTGTAAATCTCGTAACGGATTACGATCCCGTTTGGAACTGCTGGCGGCCTCCAGTTAAGCTCCACAGCTGTGGCGTTGATAAACCCTGCTGTAGGTCGAGACAGACCTTGCGGGTCCACTTCTGCGGAGAAAATGATTTGCGTGGGACCCCGCGTGCAACCTGCAACATTACAGGCCTCAAGTTGAAATTCGTACGCAGTGTAAGGAACAAGTCTTGGGACCGTGTAGTCTCGGGTGCTGCCGAGATATATCTGAACACTATCTTTGTACACCTTGTAGTGAGTGATGACCCCATTAGGATTCTCTGGCTCATCCCACGACACGCGCATGCTCTTTCCATCTTTCGGCTTATCAGCACGAAGGGGACGAAGGTCCGCTGGAGGTGCTTGTTTGGTTTTTGCTGTCGCCCAGGCCCTCACCCCCTCATGCCGATTGTTGATGGCAGCGATCAGGAACTGATAGTCCGTATAAGGGTCTAGTCCATTCACTGTGGCGTTCAGCACGTTGCTAGGCAACCGAGCTGCTACTGTGACGTTCCTGTTGTCGGGAGGTTGCAGTCCTTTATGGTAGCGTACTTCATAGTGCGTGACAATACCGTTAGGCTGGGAGGGTACAGTCCATGAAAGATACACTGCAGTGGAGTTAAGTACTGTAAGAGAGGGAGGGCGGATGCCTTGAGGAGGCCCTTCGGGAGTGCGCACGTCGTTCCAAGGACCATCTACAGAACCTGCGCTGTTCACCACTCTTATTTTATAGGAATAATTTGTGTAACCTGACAAACCACTATTCAGACATGACAACTGGCGCGCGAGACAAACTGGAAGCGGGGCACTGTTGCCTGTCTTACGGTAAACTTCATATCGGATGATGATTCCATTTGGAAAGGATGGGGGCGACCAAGAAACTTGAACAACATTCCATTCTTGTGCCACCAGGGTAGGTGCCCCCTGTCCAATGGGAGGAGCCTCACCTGTTCTTGCATGCTCTCTGTCCCCGAGTCCGCAGCCTTTAGCGGTACAAGCCTTGACGCGAACAGAGTATATAGTAAAAGGACTTAGTCCTGCAATCACCTTGCTCCTGCTAAGAGCGACAACATACTCTGTGCCATTAACGACCACAGAATAACTTGTAATGTTACCGTTTGGCTGACCCGGTGCATTCCATTCCGCTAAAATACTATAAGCACTTGTGACAGTCAAACGAGGCTTGGGAATGGCCTCTGGAGAACTCTCTGGGGTAGTGGCCAAAGAAACAGCACTCCTAGTGGTTCCCCCGCCAGTCGTAGCAGCGACTGAGTAATTGAACGTCTTTACTGGTTGGAGACCGTTGTTTCTGTCTTGGAAGATACAAATGTCTTTACCATGTTGATTTTTGTAACATGCATTCGTCCCGTTGTACACAACAAGATCTCCGCGGTAGAGTGAGTATGATACAATCACGCCATTTAGAACGTCTGGTTGAATCCACGTGGCTTCGATTTCCCTGGCACCAATGACCGTGAGATTAGGTGGGTGGACACCTTCAGGCGGTGCTTGCAGTGTTAGCGTGGAGGCCAGCGGACCTGGCGTGCAACCCACGCGCGTGCAAGCTACCACTTCAAAAGTGTAGTTAGTATAGGGTTTGAGACCCCCAATTACCAGGCTCCTCATGGACAAACCTTTGTCGTTTGGATTCAAATGGATCTTGTAAGTGCTGTTTACCATACGGCTCACGTTATAGCGAATAATCTGTCCATTAGGCTTGGAAGGTTCAATCCACGAAACATTTATTGCGCTGAAGTTTAACGGAATTAAAACGGCCGCGTTTACTTCAGTCGGGGCAGCTTGGTCGGTGTAGATCAGTGACGTCATTTCCGCTGATGAACAGTGTGTCGTGCATGCTTCGATAATGTAACCATATCCAGTAAACGGCTCCAATCCACGGTCTGTGTAAGTCAAATTAAGACCGGTATATACCACTTGACGCTGCTTAGTTTGACCATTGATCCGGGTCAGTCTGTACTCTTGGATTTCTCCGTTAGGTTTTGCTGGCTTACTCCAAGTAACGCGGATTTCAGTCGAGGAGATTGGAACTGCAACTGGTGGTAAAAGACCTTCAGGGTGACCCATGAGAGTTCGGTTCTTGGCTTCTGGACTTGACACGTTGTATCCGTTATTTATCGCAACAAGGTAGTACTCATATACTGTATGAGGGGAGAGACTAGTGTCGTTGTATTCACGGATATCGGCATTGTACTGATTTTTAAGTATTTCTTCGTGATTCGTGGCGCAGATTCTCGGTACAACAGTCGAAGGAGTTGGGGCGTAATAGCCAGCTACTAATCCACAGTTCATCGTTGAGTTATCAAAGTCACATCGGTCTCACATTGCTGCGCGCGCATCCGTCTTGTTACAAATAGTTCCCATTCCACAGCCTAACGTTCCGTTGCTGGAAATGTCTGCACAGGTCTGGTATGTAGAGTTATAGCCACGTTCGTTACAGCATGAGAGAGCACTAGACACTCGGCTTTTACCACAGCATTTGTGATTGGATGCAGATTTGTCACGTGCGCTGGTGTAGTTATAAACCTGAAGAAAACAAAAAATATTTCGAGTTAAGAAAAATATCACTGGGTTCCTTAGCTGTAATCAACTTCAATCCTGAATTCGGGCAGAGGCTAACAACCTGTGGAGCAGGTGGTTTCCGAATTTGAATAGCCCGAACCTGGATCAACATCTAAACCAAGTAAAATTAATCCTCGATTCGGGCAGAGGCTAACATCCGGTGGAGCAGTTCGTTTCCAAATTTGAATAGGCTGAGCCTGGATCAGCGTCTAAACTAAGTAAAATGTCATTATGACTGTACACTTACCACGATATTCCCCGCTGATCCTTGGCAGCACAGGCTCGTGTCTTCAGGAATATACTGAGCTCCACAGCAAGTTTTGCTAGCTTCCAGATCGTAGGCAGCACCGTTCTTTTCATCACCGCAGCAAACCTGAGCAGATGCCACAACTTTACCGCCACAACACTTCCGTGGGGGAATGGGGTCGTACAGGACTCCACACACGCAAACCTTACTGCGGTCATTCTTGTCATACGGGGTGTCTCCGCAACAGGCATTACCAAGACCCACCAAACTTCCTCCCTGAGATTTAGGACAGCATACACGTCCCGAAGGTACACTGATGTAGTTGCCATAGCAACACTGGTATTCGGCCTGTTGAATATGGAAAGTGTTTCCGCAACAGACGTCCGAGGCCTGGTTCTTCAGCAGATAATTTGTTCCGCAGCAGGTCTTGGATGGGTCCCGTGGGTAAAGAACACCACTGCAACACGCCTGGAAAGGTTTTTGAACGTGAAATTAGTACATGAATGTTGACCACATCACCTTGCACTCTTGTCTAGGTAGCAAATAGCGGAAAGAGATTTCAGAATAACAAGTTGGTTGGGATAGAGAGTAGCCCCCTGGTCAGCTCAATTGGTTAGAGCGCCAGATTGTGTTGTGGAGGTCGAGGGTTCAAGTTCCGGCCGGACCAATACTCATGGTCTTAAAATAACTGGGAGAATTTGCTACCTTTCTATAATATCAAGAAATGGATAGAGATTCTAGTCTTCTCG